AAATTTTTTTTTTTTTTTTTTTTTATTTTTTTTTTTTTTGTGATTGTTCATAGTACTAACTATGGAACCACATATGGAAGAGGCCAAATCAGATTCTTTTTTTTTCTGTAAAAAGGTCAGAATTCGGCCATTCACACAGCCATATGGATATGGTTTGCATATGGGGAAAAAAATTTACATTTGGATCACATTCCTGCCGTGTAAACGCAGCCAAAGCAGCATTGTTACAACAGCGACAGAACTGACTTTAAACCAACTGACCCTTCAGGTTGCTGTAGATAGTTCTTCATGGCTTTAACCTGCTGGAAATGACAAGACATATCTGTCGCCAACACCATCTCGATCACCAAAGCACGCAGCTCTCTGCGAAAGACATGTGAGGAAAAAAAATAACGAGTTAGACGCTGTTTAATCAATGTTAAACTTGCAGGTTCTGAAGGGTGAAGTATTCAAAAAAAAGTTATTAAAATAAATAATGGCTATTTATAGTAACGAGTCCTGACTTGAGTACAAATGGAATCAGGTGAATTCAGTCACTGAACTTTGAGGATGATCTAACTAGCCGCATTTATGTCAAACATAGTTAACATGGGGCTTTAGATTGGCGGATGATGCCTTTCTTGCACTCTTTCTCGGTGGGGTTTTCCATTCCCTTCACAATCATTTAAGCACATTAGCGCTATGTGAAACGGACCTCCAGTCATCCTTGGAGAGGTTGTAGAGGATGTTCATTTCATCGTCGTCCTGCAGTAGGCGGTAGGCTGCGCTGACGTGATGACTCTCCAACACTGAGCGATCATTGTAGAGGATGGCTGTGTCTGACCTTACAGATGAAGAAAACGTAAAACGTCTGTGTTTGACTGGAAGTTGTGTAGGTATCAAAAACACCTGAGAAATTAATACATATTAATTCACTCTGTCAAGAGAATCTTTCAATGTCAGATTAAACTTGACCAACCTTTATATAACTTTTTGGAAAATATAGAGTTTTGACTCACTCTGGATGATGGAAATACTGCCTCTAAAATAAATTTATTGTAAAATGACTTTCCTTCTTTTCTCATCCTCCTTGTAAATTTAGATCAACTTTCACCCAATATGCAAAGTAATTTTCTTTAAAATTATTATTAAACTTACATGAAAACGATATATCAGAATGTTGTCGAATTTACAAAATTTCTAGGAGAAGTTAAAGTTATTTTTTGTGTATTTGACCTTTTCCAAGTTTTGTCATCTTACAACCCGAGAGTGTTTTCTTGGGAATGTGTGTGACACAACTGTAGTGAACAAATATAATGTATAATTGTGAAGTTAAAGTTGGTACAAACAAAAATCTGTTGTGTCGTGGTTGTAATCTGACAAAATGTGAACAAGTTCACAGATTTTGGTACTTTTAAAAAGCACTATGCAAGCCGATGTTTCTTCCAGTTTTAAACTTCCTGGAATTTTAAAGTAAAAGCTGAACATTTACAAAAAGCTTCAACTTTTGAGTTTGTCTACAAATCCATCCTGTTATTATTGCACTGCGGGCGATCACAGTATGAATGTAAAGCCCCCTTGCTGTAAATGAAATCATTGATCGGGTGAGTCAGCGCCATGCATTTTTGATTTCATCATCCATTACCTTGTCTGGATATGGAAGTTGTTTGTGGTCCCTGTGTGCTCGTAGTCGTGCACCGCAGCCGCAAAGATCATGGCGAAGATCTCTAGTTCAGTCAACCAATGCTGGAGGAGGAAAAAAGGAGATGTGACAGAGGCCGAGAATAAAACATCAAGAAAATCATACAGCAGAGGAGTGCAGATAGGAAGTCAGGAAGATGGAAAAGTTGAGGCATTTGACAGGCAAGAAAGATGAGGAAGTAATGAATGCAAGAGAAAAGAATGGACAGAGATTAGGCAATGAGAATCCAGTGATGGGGAATGCAGGGAACGGCACATTAGGCCATAAAGATATTATGGAGGAATATGATATAAAAGATTCAGAGAAGAATTTGGCATGAGGAATACATTAGCATCAGGAATGAAAGCAAACGAATGGGGAAAAGGAGGTACCAAAAAGGTTAGGAAAGGAAAAACAGAGAACTCCAGATAAGATAAGGTCTATTGGGAAACAGCGTCCTATAAGCCTCCCTCCCACTGTTCTTTCTCTCACCGTTGCTCTGGTTTTCACAACGTATAAATATAAATAAAAAGGTCATGCTCTCTGTTATTCTTTTACGAGTTAATGCTATCAAAAGGTCACAGAACACACCAGGCTTTCAATTTCATAGGTCAAGTTCAGATCTTTTTAAGTGCAGTTTCTGAGTACAGCAAACATCAAAAGAGAAGATCACAGGTATTACGCAAAAGCAAATCGGTCAACTTTTAACTCAAATACATAAATTCCAGGTTTGTCAAGTAAAATCCCAAACGACGTGCAGCATGAAGCTGTAGATTTCTCATAGTATGTAGTCATAGTCGATATGAGGCTCATGAGTCAGACGGAAAGTCTCCTATAAAAATAAAAATGTATATTGTTGTATGTATGCATCTTTGTAATGAAAACTACATTTTGTATCAATCTGATATAATATTCTAAGCTGAATGGTATGTTTTCATTAGATGTGAGCATAAAAATCATCATAATCGGCAAAAACAAAGACTTGGAAACAGGAGTCTGTGTGTAAGCTTCTATCACACTGTTGCCATTTATGATGGCATTTGTTGGAAATGAAGGCTCTTCTGTTGAACATTAAGTCCAGGCATGTCTTTGAAGTCTGTCTCTCAGTTTGGCTCCACTGCTGTTTTGCATAGTGTGTGTACTGAGATCATGAGTACTTCACAGTACCAACGTCACTGTCTTGTATTTTTTTTTATATTGAAATATATATATATATTTTTTTGAGTGGATCAAAGTGAACAAATCATTTCTAGCTGTACTAATTTGAAATTAGGTAGAGCAGCCGTCACTTGGAGCAGCTTCAAACATGCGGCATGTAGAGGAGAAGAATCTTTATGAGTCCAGACAGAGCATCTGCAGAGTGTAGCATGGGACGAGGTCATGTTCAAATTTCATAATTCTTGCAACATTTGAGTAGCGTGTGCATAAATTGTATAGCAGCGGGACATGCATGCAACGCAGGTGAAATTTTAAAAGGTCTGACAATCATGCCATATAATTTGTTGACATTTCCAAACAAATCCGTGGCAACTTGCAATATGATTTGTAGGATAAAATGCCAGGCAGATACCCAAAAGTATAATTCCCTTCATTTTAAACCTTTGTCAATTTAAACCCCCAATTTGTAGTTTTGTGCCGTCACGTTGTCTCTTCCGTCTTTCTTCAAATTTAACCGCATCCTAATTTGGAAGACCCAGTATTTTACCCTGTTCCTATTTATTCTAGTTATGATGTCTATCTAGACTAGTTGTTTAACATAAAATGTGACGACTCCTAATCAAGCCAAAATAACTCCAAACATCCTACTTCTGGTATCTATCAGAGTCATAAAAAATATTTTTGTCTGGATGCTTTTTTTCATTTCATATCAAACTTTCTTAAATCTTAAATTTTGAGAAATAAAACTGCAAAATAAAAAAAAAATGGTAAAGGGGTGAATAGACCAGAAACCATCTGACAGACCCTAGTTTAGTGTGTGCATGTGTTTACTTTCATTTTGTAGGATAAGCTGGATCCAATGAGTGTATGAAATATGAAAGACACAATGGTGAGTGGGCAATTCCTCTGAGATGAGCATTCATGACTGGACTCACACACCCAGGGAGGGGATTTAGCTCAGGGAGCCAGGTCGATACTGGTGACTAATCAACAGTGGGTGATGGGGTCATTAGGAACAGGGTGGGACAGAATGGTCAATCCACTGCTCTGTAACTCTTCATAAACCAGTTTTATGAATGACCTGTTGATTGTTGATTTAGATGAGTCTGGAGGGTTTTTTAAAAATGATAAATGCTGCTCTCCCGCTCTCCTAGGAGCCTGTTGTCAGGGAATGAACGTGACTTTACTCCACAAGGCAGAGCCCAGAGAAATGCAGCCACCTTATTAAGGTGATTAAGTAAAAACAGTGGGAGTGGGGGTGGCATTCTCTTTGGAAAATCATAGACTTTGAAGTCAGGGTTGTGTTTTTCATTTTGAAATGAATGTTATGTCACATGTGCCCTCAAGTTACTTCTGTGAGAAGCTGGAGAATGTAGATCAGAACATGTTAACCAAATAAATAAAAAATAAACTATCAAAAAAACATGAAGATGTAGTCATCTTAAAAGAAAGGAGTTTTCATTTTCTTTTCTTGAAGTGACCATACATTTTCAGGATAAATAGTAAACTACAATTTTATGGCAAAAAAACCCCCGACTTATTTGTCAAAGTAAAACATCCTCTCATCTATCTACGTAATTTTTATCTGCTTAGAAACTGAATGTCAGGAAAAGCTGCAATTAGGCTGGCATACGTCAGCTGACAAAGATGTTCTGAATACCAATGGGATAAAATCCCTTTCATTTTACAGACTTAGCTTCAGCCCAATGCGCTTTCCCCGTTGGAACTCAACCTCAACGCTCAACTTGTTTTTGTAGATGCTCAGAGCTTAGACAAATTATGCAATCTAAGCCGCATGTTTCCTACTCACCACCATGCCAGTCTTGAGAAGCAGGTAGTGTACAGTCTGGGTTACATCAGCAGCATGGATCAGGTTGTGGTAGGGATTTTTATGTTTGCTATATCCCACTTCCAGGGCTTCCACGAATGACACCACCGCAGAGATCGGAATCTGAACAGTGCAAAATCGAAAGAGTCTGTGAGTTACTAACACTTAGAGCAAATCCTAAAGCTAACTTGTGACTTGATGGGTGCAGCATCGGAAACCGATGTCATAAAATCATCCATCAGAATCACTTGGGTTACAGCATCTTATGATTACATATTCATATCTGCTTTACAGCCTGTGTCATTTACTGCCAGACGCTATCAGCACCAGTGGATTGTCATAAGCTATTAGACGCTGCGGAAAATGAGCTGCACAACTATTAAAAGTAGATGAAGTGTGTCTAAACCCCACCATAAAATTATCATTGCTGGAATAAAACAACATAAACTTGGTCTTAAGGGACTGAAATTGTGTGCCTGCTTTCATCAATTTGGAAAAGCAGAAGGTTCTTGTCAGGATTGAAGAGAGCTTCTTTAACCTTGTTTTAATGGCATGAAAACATCAATGACCCAAGTTACATCTTTGAGAGTTTACCTTGAAGCGGCTTATGAGATCATATCTTGTGAGCAACTCATAGAATATAAATTTAAGAGCGTGATCCCCGCTGGCCTCATTTAGGGCGAACACATCAAACGACCATTTGTCAACATTCTGTGAGGGAGAGAAAAAAATAAATAAATCAAAGAATTAAACTGTAACTCCCAAGCAGTATGCAGTAATTTATAAAAGTGTTATTACTTTATGGGACAGGCCAAAACAAAGCAAAACTGTAAAGTGAAGGGAATAGGATATCTCATTTTCACATTTAGCTCCCATTCACTAAATAACATTTAGAGTAACTGACTATCTTCAGAAACCGCTTAATTGTTTGTATATTTTCCTCTAAGTTCAAATACAATTTCAATAGAAATATTTACTGAGCAAATATCATGAAAAATAAGCTCAGACAGGTCACACATGAAGTTGTGGAGTCATTTATAGCAGGTGGTGTGCAAAACTTTGTCAATATTCTGCTACTGTCAAAAAAAAAATACACACAAAGGCATATGTTTTTTAAGTCGTTAAAAACATGGCACACTATGACCTTCCAACTACTTCTTGTCTTCTTCGTGGTTTGTGCCAGTGGCGACATCTGGTTGTTGATCATGTGATTCATGTGATGCAAAAAAAGTGTTTCCATTGCAGTTTTGTGAAATAAACAAATTTAAATATGGATGAAAAAGCACCTTGCCAAAACATTTTATCCAAAAACAACAGTATTTTGAAATTCTGTTCCATAAAATTCTTAAAAAAAAGAAAGAAAAAAAGAGAAAATATATTTAGGTTTTGTGTTGCAAAATGTGGAAAGGTGCAGTGGTCTGAATGCTTTTGAAAGCCATTATAAATGTATCTATCTATAAGTAACGATGAACATAAGAGAAATTATTCAAATAGTTTACATTGCATGAGTTTTTTTTTTCCTTTTTGCTTTTGTGTGTATGCATATGTTAATACCTTAAGAACAGATATGACAGATGCAGGGTAGCTGAGCCCCACCATATTGGAGGTGCGTCGGTACATCCTGTTTGGATGAGATAAAGACATCAAATACTGAGCCTTGCTGAGAGTAAATATCTTAAGAAGACACAGTGCCCCGAAACCACAGCTTGGGACGTTCCCCCACCACGACTAAACCTTCAACTAATCGCAACTCAGACTGAAAGTGTGATAAAAGAAATAGTAATTTGCAAATGAATGAATACTGCTGCAGGTTTTTCCACATGAAAAAAAAAAACAGGTTTGTAGTACAAGGAGGTTGGGGTATTGTTTACAGTGATCAAAAATGGCAAAATTAAGAAGTGTTGTTTTCCATTAAATTAGTAATGACATTCAGCTGTGTAGTCCAGTAAGTCAAACTTTTGTTCATTATTATAAGATATGATGTACTTCCATCAAACCAAAAGAACTGACATATTTTTTTATCTCAAAAAGTTAAATCCTATTAAAAATCTAAATAAATACAGACAACTTAGACTGCAACACATAGTTTCCCCTTGGTTACACTTGTTCTCCCTTTTCCCACTGTTACCTTATAGAAACAGTGGAGTGCCTTCTGAGAAAGTAAATGAAGAATGATTATAGCTTGCATGGTTTTGCATGTTACTGTGCGATGAAGCTCCATCTTGGAAAGAGAGCTGGCTGTCTTGTTGGGATTCGCCAGGTTTGTCAAGGCTTTAATAATGCATCATTGTCTAAGGCAAAGGTTCCCAAACTGTGGGGTGCGCCCCCTAAGGGGGCGCCGTGCCATTGCAGGGGGGGGCGCGGGAAGACGTCTGGATGAAAAAAAAAACATGAACGCTGTATGCGCTGGGTTTTTACCTTAGAATGGCCAATTTTCTGTTATTCCTTTGTCAATTTGATACAGTAGGGGCTTCTGCACTTCCCATATCTGGTTATTTATGCTGGCCTTTTTTATTAGTTTGACTATTCACCTTTTTACTTTTTTGCAGCTATTCTGCCTGCCTGCCATTTGGATTCTGCTCCATTGTTATATATGAGGTGACATAAGTAAAAAAAAAAAAAAAAAACTTTTGCAAAACTTTACAACATGCAGGTGTAATAAATGTCCTTTTTCTAAACAGCATTGCTCATATCTCAGAACGTATGACAAATTTTAAATGGAAGCATGTAAATTCATAATAAAATTAACATACAGAGCAGACTGACTGATTAGCATAGAGCCAATAAAGCTTTACTACTCAAAATCAAATAGTAAATTTCACCTACAGTGCATGAATTATGTCCTTACTCATGTTTTATGCAGAGCCAAATTAAAGATGTTGATAGAATTTCTTTACCTCCCTCCAGGCAGCTTTTGTCTGGGCTCGCAAGTGATAGATTTGCAGCTCCAAGTGACTGCCCCATGTAAATTATTTATGATCTGCAATAGCATGGTTATTTGAGGTTGTGAAAATGCTTTATTACATCATGCAAACTTTACCTCTCGACAAAAATTCCAGCCTGCACGGCGTGGACAATGCTCCGGAAACGGGGCTTTTCTTCATTCCGCCGGAGCATTAGGCCCATCTGCCTGGTGAAGGTGGAGGCCAGCCAGTCTCGCACCTCCGAAGGCACAGACTCTGACTGGATGTCACTGAGCTCATCTTCTGTGTCCACCAGTCGCCTGGTTGAAGATATGGAAGTATAAGACAGAAAGGATTTTTAAAAGAAAGAAGGTCAACTATATGAAGATGAAAGGTGAGAGATTCACTGGGGATAAAACATAAGTCCTACACCTGTCAATCAAATATATGACCTGTTATGTCATATATTTGATAAATCCAAAACATCACAGAAATCCCATAAGGCTTCATACAAATCCTATTAGGTGACATAATTCTCCATAGCATTACTAACGTGTCCAGGATCAAAAGAAAAGCCTGTTTACGTTCAGAAAAAGCATTCGCATCCCTCCGATAACAACGGTACTATATGAACCCTGCATTTGATAGTTTATCATCCTTTCTTCTGGACTGGAGTCTGCCCATCGCTGACCCTAATCTGTTTGAATCTAGATGATGAAAGGTTTATATAATTCCCAAAGCCTGGTCAAAGCTCATATTTTGAACTGTCACTCAACTATTGACATTTATAGGCCAAGTTTATTTTCTAACTTCAATTATATCTAAAAAAAAAAGATTTATAGACATACAGCCAAATTTGCTTTGCTATATCAGTCATTTAAATGTAAGGTCTTGTTAAGAGTACATACCAGCTGCCCACGTTAGCCATGCAGACATTCGGTGGTGCAAGAATTTGGAAAAAAAAAAAACAAAAACAAAAAAAAAAATAGTAACAAAAATAACTTTAACAACATGTGATAGACAGACACACACATGCTCACAGCTCCAAAATAACTAAATACTACTGAATGCTATGTCTGGTAAACAACAAAGTCTTGGTTTCCACTTAGTTTGACTTATTTTATTGCAGTAATTATAAACGTAGAACATGAATGAGAAGAAAAAATTAAATACATAAATTATAGATAAAAATTATGAGAAAAAGAAATGAAGAAACTCTAATCACAGTGAAAAACTAAATATTTCAAGTCAATTTTTAATTGCACGGTTTAGTTTTGCAGGTTTTGGTGATGAGATGTGCATTTCTATTGTTATCAAAGAATTGACCATACTAAAACTCAGTCTCTTCTACAATGTTAATGTTCTTCTTACCTTGTCTCCTCAATGTAAACCGATTCGAGCACCGATGCTGCGTACTCCAGGTTTTTCTTGAGGTCAGCAAGGGAAGCTTCTCCTCTCTCCAGTTGCTTCACCAGACATCGTAATCTAAAACAGAGATCCAGCAGTCACTGAATAAATGGGATTATGCTTCTGTTTTACTGACATGACAAATTAATTGTAATTGATATTGGATTAATCTTGTTTGGGGTCTCTGTACCAAGAAATTCTTTGTCTTGTCAAAATGCAGCTTTCTTCTCTGTTGTAAAAAGTAAAACCCAATAAAATCAACAAAAGATGTCACAATATGGCCACCTATACTGGTCACTTTGTTCCTGGTTAACTATCATCTACATGAATGCCACTAAAGATGACTATATTCACACTCAAGCATGGGTTTGAGTGATACAGCGAAAGTGAAGTGGACAATAACTTGCCACAAAAATTCAATCTAGCAAAGTTTTTCTCATTCGTTTTATTTTTTATTATCTTGCCCTTCTGAGCATACTGTATTTAAGTCTGTGAATTTATGAATTTTATTATTTTAAAGTATTGTGCACCTGGTCACTATTAATCGTGTCAATAGTGATCAACTATCAACATTGTGTTTGACAAGAAAGCAAACTCCTCCTCCTTGTGTATATAAGTAGACTAATTAAACTGTATCTCATTCTCTTTCAAAAGGAATGGCTCTGCGATCTGTCCAGAATAACTCATTTTGTTTCTTTTGATGGCTGCTACTTTAATATGTTCAGGTGGTTTTACTCTGTATGAAATAAAGTTATTTAGCAATGTGGATAGCATAGCCATTATGTCAAACTAAAATTTTCCTCAAAAGAAGCATTATGACTTTTTAAACACAATATCATCAAAATATCCAGCAGAGAGTGACTCATTCCTATACATGTCCAAACATTGAAGCACCATGAACTCCTGCGGATTAGCTTCTGACACTGTGACAAGCTCCATTTGTAAAAATACCTGCAAAACTAGGTCAGTGTCACTGATTTTTACCCGCATCTGCTTTGCATCCAAATTAGCATATTTTAAGGACTGAACTAGTTATTTCAAAATCCATTTTCTGAAATATAGCTTTGATATTCTAGCTAAAAAAAAAAAAACATTCAGTGTTAATGTTCAGTTAAATTTCAGTTAAACTGCAAGATATTTTCTTATCTTGTGAAAATTTATTCAGTACAAGAGAGTTTGAAGCGTGTAACCATATTTCTACACCATAGTTACAATCAAAACCTTAAATGTGTTTTTTTTGTCTGTATTGGAATGTTATGTTACCACATACGTGTTTTATATATATATATATATATATATATATATATATATATATAAAGTGTTGCTTCGGTATTTATCTCTTTCAGCTGTGCCCATCTGTTATTATTTGTGTCATTTAATTAACATGTTTTTTTAGCCCTAGTCACATATTTAATATTTATGCTACACATAAGCATTACGTTAAAAGCAGTGTTTGATTTTTATTAGTGAAAAATGCTATATAAATAAAATATGTATAAAAGCAAAATCATATAGAAATCACTGACAATATCAAATATAAGCTTGTCTGTGCAATAGTAATATGTCTGGCATAATAAACTTTATTCTTATATTCAATGCCAAAAATAGAATTAAAAGTGGTCGCTTCAATTAGCACACTGTCACCTCTTGCTGTACCCCACCTGTTGCTCTGTAGGTAGTGAATGAATGCCCAGAGAGGTTACAGTTGATGATGAATTATTAAAAGGAGCTGCGGGTGATTTCCGATGCATTCATTGATCACTTGCATTCCCTCAAAGCACCTGCCTGCTCTCAATACCAACCAAGAAATAACAACAACTTGAGCAGTAGGAGGTCTTAAAACCTTATCCGAGTGTAAATAGCATCTCTGCTCATCTAGGATATTCTGGATAAAGAAAACATAACATATATTTAACAGCACAAGAACTGTTTACTGTTTAAATGTTGAAACAAAAGACTGATGACGTTGATGGGCGTGTTACATTATCCTTCAAATTGCAGAAAGAGCAAATATATAGCTAAATGTGTTAATTTGCTCATAAACAGCAGCTCTATGCATGGATTGCTTTAACTTGTCATAGGCAAATGTAACACTGCAATTGTTGTGCTTATTAGTTGGATGCCACTAATGATGGCTATTAAGAACAGCTGTGTTCTAGTAATGTTCACTCCTTGTGTAGAAAAACACAGAAAATGCAACATTACATCTTCTTGAACAAATCGCATAAAGCCGCAAAATGAATAATTTGCCGTGTGACTTGTCAATTTGTTTCGACTTTCTATCTTGAAGGAGCGGTTGTTTGAAAGGTAATATTGAAAAAAATAATAAATAAATTGTCTCTCTCACAACAGCCTGGACAGGATGTCCAACCAATTATTTGTTCAAGGGAATTATTATTCAGTAGACTTTAGGCATCCAGGGAAGCTTTCTAGTGAGTGATTGCTTTTTGTGAGAGAACAAAACAGAAAAAGAAATGTTTTGTACTGTAGATTGAAGGCCAAACAGTAATGTTTGACAGATCAATTAAAAAAAAAAAAACTTGGTGAAGCAAGTACTCTGTTAAAACATGATTAAAATAACAGAGGCAGCAGTGAGAAGCTTAGCTCCAGGATTGTCAATAAATGACAATGCCAACAAAAAAAAATCGGCCCATTTCACCTGCTGATGTTGCCAATGGAGGCAATGTACTGTGCTAAAACTACGGGTCAGGGCCAAAGTAACTCCTGGGCACAAAGCCATTTGAAATATTCAGTGCCTGAAAAAAAAAGTAATAATAAATTGATTGCCTAGCAGGAATTCAGCTTTTTTCAACTAAACCCACCAGACAGCTCAGTGTTCGATTCCCACGTTTTCACTTTATCTCAAGCTTTTACATAAAATTTTAGGTATGAAGATCAATCCTTCAGGGTTAGATGTAACCTTACATAAAGAGCAATTTTATTCATTCTGGATATCAGTAAGTCTGCCCAGGAAAGCTCAGTGAATTAGTATTTCATTAAAAACGCAATTTATTTCAGAAATGAAATTCAAAGAAGGGAAACTCGGTATCTTGTGGATTTCTGGCTATTTTGGTAATTTGATTTTCCTTTTAGAAAATACTATTCAAAAATAAAACGAGTAGCTATTTATTTATTTTTTTAAAGAAACTGAGAATCAATGTTGAATTGTGTTGCTACACTATGAGATGAATTTGATGAGATTTCCATTGGTCCCCTATTCTATATTGATGTTTGTATGTAAATTATGAATATTCTTCAATAGTTTCCAAATCCTATGACAAAGAGTCAAAATCAATGCTTAATTGTTACTGTGCTCATTTTGTATTAAAAAGGCTTTTTGTTATTTTAAATTTCTGAGAAACTGAATTTTGACTTTTCATCAGCTATAAACCACAAAAATTAAAAATAAGAGAAGTAATTCCAACCACTTCCAACTTGTTGATGATATTCTATTGGACAATTTAGTTGTGTTTGAGTATTTGTGCATGTCAACCATGAGCTAAGGACAGTTGTTGTCACTTCATGTCAAACCGCCCTTACTATGCAGGAGTGATACTTAATCGCCAAACAGTGGAGACAGAATTATCAGAGCAAATCGTAGTGAAGACAAAATGAACATACAATTTATGTATGAGCTTTTTAATGGAAATTAATACTGCTCTTACTACTGTCCTGAGAATATTGCTCATACATAGAGATGAGAAATGGTTGACAGAAGTGGATTTAGTTTTTCATGTATGGGACTTTCAACACACACGTCAAAAGGGACATGTGTCCCTTCACTCCCTCTGCAATGGTTTTGGTGTGTAATTGATGGCTCAAATAGGAAAACAGTCAGTAGTAGGGATGAAGATTTGACCTTTTAATGAATAAACAGATTAACTCACAATAACTCGGAGACAAACAGCAAATAAAATCCAACGAATAATTCAGAGATTGAAGTGAATAAACAAAAAGCAAATACCATTAATAGCAGGAAGGATTGATGATGACTGAAAAGAACCAGAGAACTTTGGGAGGAGTGAGTGAAACAGGTGAGTCTTCCTGCTGAATTTGGGACAGATAGGAGTGGACATAACTTAAGGACAAAGAGGCCAGACGGCAAACTGGCAGAGTCTATGCAAGTACTGTATCTAAACAGCACCATCACAGAAAAACACAGATGAGTAAATAGCCAAAATCCAACTATGATTGAACACTGAAGTAAACAGACAGACAAGAATTCACTGAAAAATAAAATGGCAAAAACTTCAACAACTTTCAACTCATGCTAAATGTTTTCAAACTACAGTTTTCATCTCTGCAGACTCACTCTAATACTAATTATACAGCCCATATCACCTTTTTAGATGCTCACCTGTAATGCAAAATTAACTTTTTGCACATTTTTATAATTCCATGTGTGTCTCAACTGCTTTTAATAACCATCCAAGTGCTTTAAAACCTCACCCATCTGTTTTCTGGCTGGGTGATTGACACAATCACAATTTGCTAGCGCTGCCGTGTTACCTAGCAAGCCCAGCCAAACCCATCCCTTCACCTGGCAACCCAAGCAGAGCTTAAGCTAGCTTTGGTCAGCTGGTTTAAAGTAGTAGTAGGTACTTTTATAAAAAAGAAATATGCAAAGTCATGTCTCAAGTTTTCTTGTCAAATATGCTCACTTTGAGCTTTTGCTCAGGTTGTGCAGAGCAAATAAAGAACATTAGCCTCCAGCTGTCAGCCTAAAGATAGGATTTGTATTCCTTTGAAAAGATAAAGAGAGAAGAGATTAAAGTTGGAATTCAAATCAAGAGTATTTTTTGCTCACTACACACTGCTTTCAGTCATTTGCCCTAAGCTAACCTTGTCACACAAAAGTATGGAAAAGAGAAAAATTACTGCAGTTCGCTGCTGCTTGGGTCTGGAGGACTTCGACAACGCTCAAACTTTTGTCAACCGCCATGACATCCGGATGAGAGCATGAAATGAAATGAAGGCAAAATAAAGGGTGGAAGGCAGCACCAGTTCCCTCCCCCCCACCTTCATTTAAGAATTACTTTGTACCTTATTTTTTAGAAAGTGGTTGCTGTGCCATTCTGACTTGCATAAAA